TGACTTATTCAGTACCCATTTATAGCTGGGTTGAGTGGAATAATGAGAAACATTGACTTATTCAGTACCCATTTATAGCTGGGTTGAGTGGAATAATGAGAAACATTGACTTATTCAGTACCCATTTATAGCTGGGTTGAGTGGAATAATGAGAAACATTGACTTATTCAGTACCCATTTATAGCTGGGTTGAGTGGAATAATGAGAAGAGATGTCTTATTCAGTACCCATTTATAGCTGGGTTGAGTGGAATAATGAGAAGAGATGTCTTATTCAGTACCCATTTATAGCTGGGTTGAGTGGAATAATGAGAAGAGATGTCTTATTCAGTACCCATTTATAGCTGGGTTGAGTGGAATAATGAGAAACATTGACTTATTCAGTACCCATTTATAGCTGGGTTGAGTGGAATAATGAGAAGAGATGTCTTATTCAGTACCCATTTATAGCTGGGTTGAGTGGAATTATGAGAAGAGATGTCTTATTCAGTACCCATTTATAGCTGGGTTGAGTGGAATAATGAGAAGAGATGTCTTATTCAGTACCCATTTATAGCTGGGTTGAGTGGAATAATGAGAAGAGATGTCTTATTCAGTACCCATTTATAGCTGGGTTGAGTGGAATAATGAGAAGAGATGTCTTATTCAGTACCCATTTATAGCTGGGTTGAGTGGAATAATGAGAAAAGATGTCCCAATCATTACACCTGGCTATGCATTCTCGGAAGTGTTAGGATATCCTAGAATCAATGTCAGAAGATAAAACCGTGGGACATCCTAGCTCTAAGATTATTTCGAGAATAGGTGGCCAGGTTTTCAGATGTAGACTGAAATAAGAACCAAGCAAATGAGGTATTGTAGATGTTCCAACGCCCTTAACTAACTGTGATTTTACTCACCTGGGTATAAATATTTTGTGAATTTCTTTTCAGATATTTTGCGACCTAGTACGTCTTATAAATCAGAAAAACCCAGAAAAAGTTGCTCGAAGAAAAAAGAAGTCGAGTGGTTGCTGTTTATTGTAAGAATTGTGGACTATTTTAATCTGAAGATCGGATGATGATGATAAGAAATAATACCTGAAC